CTCAGTGGTCCAAAGTCCTGTTGCTCAGTGGTCCAAAGTCCTCTTTTCTGATGAGAGCAACTCCAAAACAATAAACCCTCCCCTCATAAAAGCCCAAGCCATATTTTGTATGTAAGTGACTAGCCCTGTGCGGTTGGTTGGCCATTAAAAGAACAGACTGTTGGCCTAGACAAATCAGGGTCCTGATCCAGTGAAGCACAGCTTAAACTCTTAATGCAACTAACTCAAAGATATAGATTACGCTTTCCCGAAACATAAAACACTCAGATTATGCCACACAAGTAATGGGCATTTAAAAATGGAATAACTAATACATTTTTATCTTGATTGCTAACAGCTTCATTGTGTAAAATGAACCTGGATCTCCCCAATACTAATCCCATGCCTAACAACTACACCACACATATTAGAATGTATGGCAGTAAGGGATAATAAAACAAAGCACACAAGGTACTTAAATACTGTCTATATCTTAATTTTAAGAAAACTGACTTCAAACGCCTCAGGAAAAAGTTGGTTGCAATCTACCGTGTTTCCCTGAAAATAAGACAGGGTCTTATTTTCTCTTGACCCCCGAAATAAGCACTTGGCCTTATTTTCGGGGAGGTCTTATTATTTTTGAGGTGCAGGAGGCAGCGAGTGTGGTCACCTCATGGCTGCTGCTGTGTTGCAATATTTCCGGGGAGGGCTTATTTTCGGGGGAGGGATTATTTTAGCGCATGCATTCAAAAACCCAATGCGGGAAGGTCTTATTTTAGGGGAAACAGGGTATTAAGATCTACACTAAGACAGGGATGGGAATAAACTGTCTGGTTATTCAGTTCACTCCTTTTACCTACTGAATTGTCCAGAGAAAGAAAGTTAAGCTTAATTACAATTATGGCCAAATCAGAAAATCTGTTATTTAATCTCTACTTAAATAACAGAATGTAAAAACCATTATCTGATTCTTTACACCTCCCTGGCAGTCAGATTAACTAGCTGGAGGAATGGCATCTGCACAGCTTCTATTTTCTAGCACCAGCTAAGCATTTTTGTTAAAAGTGTGCACATGCATACATAGAAATACAGTATTTCCCAGGTATTTTTTACACTCTATTAGCTTACATTATAATTTTAGATGAAATCTGACATTTAATATCCTGTCGCATGGATTTATGTAAGGTTAAATATTAAATTCTAGACTTCACTTCTTGTCAACAATTTGCATTTATGTATGGTACCATTGGCATCATTAAAACCAATTTAATTTCCAATAGTAAATTTAACTATCCATGGGATATATACGTTTTCCTTAGGGCAGACGTGTTCTCTTACTCGGTTTTTAAGATTAACACAGGTGTTGTCTCTCTGGATCAACAATTCCATTATTCTACATCAAGCCAACTTTTATTTTTAAACTATAAATAACATACATTACCCACAAACATGAATCACTATACAATTTTTTTAAAAAATACAGCAACCTTGTTTATTGTTACAAACAAGGAATGCATTTGTACATCAGGAGACACATAAGACATTCAAATTTCATTACCCAATGGGACTTTCCCAAACTCCTTTAAGTATGATCTTTTTTGTCTCTTGTTGGGGAAAAAAATCCAGGATCCCTTTTTTGGGGATTACAATATTGAACTATATCTCTATTTTTCTTTAAATCTGAAGTGCTTGTGAGAATTGCCTTGTCACAAACTATTTCTATTTGCCTTCATGATCCGTATCACTTAGCATTTTGTGAAAGTCAATAGAAGTAGTACTTTCCCAAGTTCTAAATGTTATTTTGGTGTTCAAGTTCCAAATTCTCACACTAGGCTGATTCTTTAGGATCTGACTGCAGTATTTCATACATGTGACCATAAGTACTACTTATTATCCCTGGCATCAGTAATGGAGTTCTTTACTGATTCAACCCTTGTCTATCTTCTGGTTTGTTTGCAAAGTGAATTACACCTTCAGGAGTTTTCCCTTATGGCAGGTGTTAGAGATCAATTCTGGATCCTCCTTTATTCTTTATACCCTTCCCTTGAATACACCAATTCATGGGTAAGAGCTTCAGTACCACTGTTTCACTGATAATATTCCATCAACCACAAAAGGTTGACGAAGATACATGGCCAAATAGATCACGTTACTGTTTTGACTTGGAATGTTCTTTGCTCAAGCTGAATATAAATAAGACAGTGACCTGATTGTCCTTCCAATTCCCCCATGCATTCCTCTCCTCCATCCCATTTGTCTCTGCAATTTCCAGATTGTCCCAGGTTCCTCTGCCTTTTAGAATCTTGCAGTTGATGATCAATTGACTTTGTGCCTATTTATTGAGTTTTGTTATCCTTCTGAGGTAGGCAAAGTCAGGGAATGTAACAATAAGGATTCCAGGAATTGTCCTTATTGTTGTAGCACAGAAGAACAGAACTTTGAAAGCACGTTGAAGCTTTTCTTGAAAATGAAAAAGGACAGCGTTCCTTTGCCCATACTGTTTGTAATTCTACTTAATAGTTGTCATTCAAGCAAAATTATACATAGCCGACAAACAATACCATCATCATAAAATGAAGTACTTACTGACAGGAGCTTCCATGTAATTGGTCGTACAAGTTTTGGAATTCCTGACCAACTCAGCTTCCGCAATTCTTCTACTCGTCCAACCAAAAGAAAAAGAGCAATTAAGAAATTGCATAGAAATACATTGGGGTTAAGATCATTTCCTTAAACATTTCCTTATAAAATTATGTGTAAGCTCTGATTGTTGTAGATGAGTTCCTGTGCCTACCATTAAAAGGTTCTTGAAGTGTAAATCAAAGAATCTCTGTGATTGGATTCTTTGCTGCTTAGGGACTGAGTTCAATGCCTGCTCTTAACAACGAAAAACACAATTTAAAAATATTGGTCTGCAAATATAATTATGACCTTTTTAACTATGTAAAATTTACATTATAGATAAATCCTGGTTTAAAGTTAACATCTAAACCAGTTTGAGGGTAAAATTGCCTTTTCAATGGATTATTAGTCTGGATCAACTTGGTTCTGAAAAATATGACAAACCACTTGATAGTTTATACAATTCTAATACTGATTTAGTCTATGTTATTCAAATATTAACCTTGCTTCTGAAGTTTATTTAATAATTAGAGTTTTGGGAGGAATTTGGTATCTAAATCTTTTTTTAAACAATGTTGATAGTATTTATTTACATCTCCTCTAGAAGGAAGTGCTTAAATATCTCAACATAAAATTAGGTTTTTTTTTATCATAGAAAGGGGTTAATCAAAATGCCTTTTGTGAACTGGATACTGCAATTAATGTTTGAAACATAATGACTCTGGAATCATTGTGTGCAAAAGATAGTTGTCCCCTTGATTATTTTCTTCAATATTTGAAATCTTTTAAGAGACCATGAATTTAAGATTTCTCAGGTACTAGGAGCTTTTAAAAAGAATTATCATACAACACTGGGAGAAGGAATCTATATTTGAATTGCAGCAATAGTTTGTAGATTTGACAATATTTGAATTTGGGGGGCCATCAAAAAAGACAAGTAAACTTTTCAAATAATATAGTAGAATAAGTGAACTTGTTTCATTTACAAAGGTCATTTTTTTACCTCTCTTTTTATTATTATTAATACATTTGAAATACATTGCAGTAATACATTTATATAGAGAGGCTGAATAAAACCCAGTTTGGTGTATTGATTAATGTCTGGTCTACAAACCAGGAGATTGTGAGTTCTAGACCTGCCTTAAAGTATAAAAACATAACATGTTTGCAACTTAAAAATGGCAACAAGGAAGGTGTATGAAGCTCTAACTTTATTGTACCTTAGATAACAGCAAACTCAAAATTACCTAAAGCTTACCTAACTATGCAACCAACTAGATAACCTCCTTTGTAACTGTTTTCCAACCAACCTTCCTGTATCTCAGTCTCAAAATGCAGAGAGACCAAGAAAAAAAAGCTCACTTTAAGCTTTTGTTTTTAATTCACTTTTTCACTGAAATGTTCCCTAAATGCAAGTGATTGCTGTGTTGTCCAACTGTTCTTCCTAGCCGTTCCTGGGCATTTATAAATGGTACATGCATTGTTTTACCTGATATAATCTGTTGATACATATACATTCTGTTTGAGTGGGGAGAAGAAAGGTTGTATCAAAGATTTTTAATGCAAATATTTAATTCCTTTATTGCACCACATTTGAAACATTTACATACAAGCTGCACATTGCAGAGAGAGAGATGGTCTAAGTAAAAGCACAAGCATCAGAAAGAGTGAAATATTACTAAGTTACATTCTCCTTTTGCAGATTTTACTCAAAGAAGAATTTCTACGTAGTTATACGACAGATATTAAAATTGAGTACACACGGTTCTCCATAAAATCCCAAACTCCATTTTATTCTGGTTTACTAAACTCTACTGCCAACCCAGTAGGAAACTACAGGTATTCCTCAGGTCCTAAATGGGAGCCAGAATTTCTGTTGCTAAGTGGTCATTAGGTGAAACATTGCGCTGCTTAGTGGCAGCAGTTTCAGGAGTCTCAGTTGAGGTCCTTAAACCAGGACCGCACCATCATTTAAGCAAGCATCTCATACTTCTCTTGCCCTGACATGCTCGCCTTCAGTCCCCCACCTATCTCTAATGACATCACCACACCAACAACCGCAATTCTGCTTTTTATAAAGACATAAAAACAGACAAGGGAAAAAGTGCAAGACCTGAGCTCCTACAATAGATCACCTGTCAAATAGTTTCAATGATGCTGCTTATGTTATCCCACTGCAGGTTTTTTTCTCTACATACAAAGGGTAACTTTTATTTATGCTTCTTATTCCTCCTCCAAAATGAGTCACGTACGGATAAAACATATCAAATTATTTCAAAAATGGGGAAAAGTCTACATTAGAATTATTATTTATTGTACGGTACATCTGCACCACATTCCAATTAAAAAACATAAGAAAATTTTATATATATAAAAATATAAAATCAGAAAAAAATAAGATTCAATTAAATTTTAAAGTAGAAAAACAATTTGGACATCTAATTCCAAAAGGATCAAGATATCTGATAATATTTGCTTAACTATGGTTTCCAATAAATACAGAAATACTATCTGGGGAAAAACATATGTAGAAAGTCTAGTTACAAGTTTTCTAATTGAATTGATTTTGCATGCTATGTTCCACAGTTTTAATTTTGAAAAATGTCCTGCTGCTTAGTATTATACATCAACGTCTAGTTATATTCCGGAGTTTAAAATAGCAGGAGCCTATAGTAAAATTTTGAGAAATGGGAGGAAAAACTGACAGATAACTTAACAGAATAGACCCAGGGTAGTTTAAATGTTATGGTGATGAACTGCCAATGGGGAAACTGGAGTTCAAGTCCACTTTCATCTATGGAGACTCACCATATGATATTAGACCAACCTTTCTCACAGTGTTAGGGTTAGGGGAAAGAGAACTCATCAAATTTGCAGATGGCAGCAAACTGCCAAAACCTCAGAAAACAGAGTTATGATTCAGAAGGATCAAGATGCAATTCAGTGGAGAGAAAACCAAGATCCTGCATTTAGGCAGGAAAAAAACCAATGCCATAGCTATACAGCATTTTTAAGAGTATAAGACGCACCAAGGTTTAGAAGAGGAAAATTAATTATTAGTTTGTTGCACTCTGCAAACCTCCCGAAAGTGGGCCCTTTTTTTCAAAAAAAGGGGGGTGACTAGCCCTTAGGAGGCTTGTAGAGTACTCCTGGGGGGGTGCAAAAACTAGCAAAAAAAGGCCCATATTTTTGTGAAAATGGGCCCATTTGTTTTCTAAAAAAAGGGCATGGATAGTCTTTAGGAAGCTTATAGAGTGTTGCTGGGGGCTGGAGGGGCAAAAAACGGCCCATTTTGTGCTCATTTCTGCACTCCCCAGCTCTCAGGAGCTCTCTGGAAGCCTTCTAAAAGCTATGCACAGCCATTTTGGTGAAGGGGCGGAGTTTCGGGAGACAAAAATGCTGTATTCAGTGTATAAGACGCACCCAGATTTTCAGCCTCTTTTTTGAGAGAAAAGGGTGTGTCTTATACTCCAAAAAATACGGTAGATTAGGCACTATCTGACTCAGTAGTAAATGTAAGAGGGATGTCAGTGTCCTACTGGACAATAGCTTAAGTATGAGTCAGCAGCCAATGGAGTCCTGGCTTGCACTAGCAGGATAACAAATGATAGTACTCTATACTGCATTGGTGAGGCTACATTTGGAGTAGTTTCCAACCATGGTCACCATGATATGAAAAAAAGATGCTGATGCCCTAGAAAGAGTGCAGAGAATATCAACAAAGATGATAAGGGATGTGGAGACTAAATCATGCAAGGAACTTGCCTAACAAAGAGAAGGATTGGAATTCTGCAAATCCACATCCAGTTTTGTCCACTACAATACAAAAAAGATGCTGAGACTTAGGAAAGAATGTGGAGGTTGTTAGGGGACCGGAGGCTACAGCACAGGATGAACGGTTGCAGGGACTAGATATGTCTAACAAAGAGAAGGATAGGGGTGACATGATAGCAGCTTTCCAATATTTGACAGGTTGTCCCAGAGAAAATGAATTGATCTATTCTCCAAAGTACCTGAGAAGTAATGGATGGAAGGTTATCAAAAAGAGATCCAACCTAGAATTAAGGAGAAATTTCCTGCCATTGAAAACAAGTTGTGGGCGATTTTAAGAAGAGATTGGACAGCCATTTGTGTGGAATCGTATAGGGTCTCCTCCTGTATAGGGGGTTGGACTAGAAGTCCTCCAAGGTTCCTTCCAAATCTATTATTCGGTATTCTGTATTCTGACACTATAGCTGCCTTCTGGTACTTGAGGGGCAGTCACAGGGAGGAGAGAGGCAACTTATCCTCTGAAGCACCTGAGGGCAGGACAAGAAGCAATGATCGGAAGCTTGTTGAAGAGAAGATCCAATCTGGAATTAAGGAAAAATTTCCTGACAGTTAAGTACAATTAATTAAGGGAACAGCTCACCTCCTGGAGTTGTGGGTGTTCCATCGCTGGAGGTTTTCAATTTCAAAAAATTGGACAGCCATTTGTCCGGGATGCAATAAGGTCTCCTGCCTTGGGCAGGGGGTTGGACTAGAAGACCTCCAACGTCCCTTCCAGCCCTATGATTCTATGATTCTAAACAAAAGAGGAGATAGAAATCTAATAACTAAGTGAATAAATGAATAAGTCATTATACTGACATTGAGAAGGGTACTGGATATGTATACTAGTTATGGCTTAGGAACCATTTAGAATTCCTAGATTTTTTTAAAAAAAAATCTTGCTCACTGATTTCACCAATATCTTAAATCCTGCCATAAAATGCTAAATATAAGGTGGAAGCTTTCACCATTCTGCCTGTATTTAGGTGAAATTGTTCTATATGTCATTTCCTTACTGAAATCTCAAAGGTGCTTTTTCAAGAGACAATTGGGCTTCCTTTGTTTTTACTTGAAGACATTTTGCTTCTCATCCAAGAGGCTTCTTTGGTCAAAACTGAAGAAACTTCTAAGATGAGAAGCGAAATATATTCAAGGAAAAAACAAAGAAAGTTCAGTTGCCTCTTGAAAAAGCACCTTGGGGACAATCATGACCTGGATGACTGAG